GTGTGTGTGTGAGAGAGAGAGAGAGAGAGAGAGAGAGAGAGAGAGAGAGAGAGAGAGAGAGAGAGAGAGAGACAGAGAGAGACAGAGACAGAGCGAGATATATATGAACAAAAAACTGTATAACACCTTACTCCTACATCTACGGAATTACTTGTTAATAATAACATATTCTTTTTTGTGTGTGTGTGCAAAACCTACAAAAATGTTGAGCTTATTCCCGTATTTGTAAATTTCAGTACAGAGAAAGCAACGAGGTCATTTGAATAACATTGAATAACACGAAACATTGAGTCACGAGAATACAGCGACATTTAAAGAAGAAACGAAGCCGAATTAGAAGGCACATTAGAATGTCGCATGTGAAGTAACAGACCTTTTCATATGTGTCAGACATAGGGTGCTAGACTCGTTGTATTTTATAGAACAAACGACACTCAATAGGTAACGAGGTCAATATTACGCCGGCCACCTTGACTTCTCATGAGATTTCCTGGTATTACGTTTAGACTGGGTCAGTTGGGCGCCTTAGACTGTTATAAAAAGCCTTTAAAAAAAGTATGCTAGAACCCAGGCCCTTCAGACCGAAAAGCTAGCTTTTAGATTCGAGCCCGTAAACCTATAACGATAACAGAACCTCGGTAAAGGAATACTTACGCCGGTACCGATCTTCTTCTTCTTCTTCTTCTTCTTCTTCTTCTTCTTCTTCTTCTTCTTCTTCTTCTTCTTCTTCTTCTTCTTCTTCTTCTTTTCTTCTTCTTCTTCTTCTTCTTCTTCTTCTTCTTCTTCTTCTTCTTCTTCTTCTTCTTCTTCTTCTTCTTCTTCTTCTTCTTCTTCTTCTTCTTCTTCTTCTTCTTCTTCTTCTTTTTCTTCTTCTTCTTCTTTTCCACCTTGTACCTCATCGAAGTGTCGGGGGGAGATGTAACGTTCGTTGACGAGCTCTGTCAAGAGCACTATTAAGACTGAAGTTCAATTTTGTAAGACTGTTCTTAATGCCATCACTCCATGTTTTCCGAAGTCTTCCACTCGCTCTATACCCGTTGTAACATTTTAGTGTGGCTGGCTGTGGCACATAGTACCAGGGCATTCTTGTTAGGTGTCCAAACCACTTCATTTGTTGTTCTTTGATGACCTGTAGGACTGGCTTTTTTCCTATTATTCGTCTGATTTCGTGATTTCGTATTCCTTCTTTCCTGCAGCTCTTCTAATGCATTTCATCTGTGTTGTCACAATTTTACGTTCATTGGAAGATGTTAGTGTCCACGTTTGGCATAAATAGCATAGTACCAATCAATTCCTATATATCTATGTACAGTTCCTATCAGGGTTTCTATTTTATATGCGCCATGTTTACATCGTCTTCCACAATACATTTATTTTGTGTGTGATATTAGCCTAGTTACTTGAGCTGTACTTGTTGTCAACAAGCGTCGGGTCACGCCTGAAATATGTCGGCGTTCTTGGAGGGTCAGTCAGTCACATGGTTTTCCTGTGAGTAGCGGATCAAACAACTGATATATCAGTCTTCATACAGCACATACTTCAGAGAATAAGTGTACACTGATCAATGAGAAAGTGGCTGTGAGAGTTATGTGGAAAATCGTCCAAGGCTTGTAAATGTATGGCAATGTCAACTTTGTTGCGATCGATCCAGAATGTTACAAATATATAGTAGTATTGAATTTACGCTAAACTAGGCGGATTGTCGTGTTTTAATGCGTATTGTGTGTATGTATATATATATATATATATATATATATATATATATATATATATATATATATACACACACACACAGAGAGAGAGAGAGAGAGAGAGAGAGATTGAGACGGGATTGAGTGAGGGAGGGGGGAATGGAGGCGAGTCAGAAAGGGAAGATGCCAAAATGTAGGCTACTGCAAGTAAGTTATCGGAATATCAGAAGGGAAAACAATATCACTTCTCATGATTAACCTTATTTACCTAATTATGTGTGCGTGTGGGCGCATATATTCTTTAGATTTCGACATTCGCACCAACATTGCGCACACAGAAATATCAATTGCTGGAGGACCCTGTAGGTCATAGAAACAGAATAATAAGCAAATGAATAATATTGATCAGCTGCGTAAAAGCAGAGTGAACATGGGAATTCATGGTGTAAACTTGAAAGTATAACAAGTGAAAGGCATGGACATACGAGATTCGAACCTAAACTAGGAGGAAGAACAAACATATTATAGCTAGGTTCAAATCCTGTACTTTTATAGGCCAATCAATGGTTGATATGGCTAGCATCACGCCAGCTGGCTTTACTTAACAGCTCTGTACCTGGTACTAATTTTTAAGGCCGGGTCATTTTTGTGTGCAATATAATTATTTAACCTGTTAATAAAAATGGTATGCTTATACTAAAACACCGAATGCTTTCTTTTCACTGCATTTCAGTTCACCCAGCATGGCACTGAAAATCGTTCCATTTTCCTCTCTTGGCACGAATGCTATATAAAGGTTGCCGATGCTTGCAGTCAATTCTGCAGCTCGTGTTTCATTGCGTAACTAGATAAATGCCAGAACATAGAATCCTCAAAGGGCAGAAAACCAAATTAGATTGAAAAGCAAGAATAAGCATTTGCGTAAATGATTTCTTGAGGGGACGGCACAGAATAAAAGAAAAGTACAGATTATAATTATATATCGTGGGCGTCTCTCTGAACGCATGACATCTGTCAAATTAAACGATCTTAGTGCTACCATCGACTTCAAATTCATCTCCCTCCCTTCTTATGCGAGTTAGTCCTAGAAGTCAATGACAGATAACGCGGTAAGACACCCAGAGGAGAGTGGTTAGCGCCTGGCTGCGAACGGTACTGACAAGTTGTCTCCTTATGTTGATTTAAAGAGCTATGTAGCGATGAACCAAGAAAGATCGATAGATCCTTGTAATTTTTATAGTGATTTTGTTTGTTAATTTTTTTTTTTTTTTTGCTTCCGTAAAAGCGCTGGCGGGACTCACAAAATAGTATTACTGTCTTGAATTTTCTTCTTTTTCTTCTTCGTGAGATAGATTATCTATATCTGCAGTTTTGTCTCTAGTATGAACTTCCAGTAAATAGCGTCTGATGAAATGACGGTTGCTGCTGTTGCTCTGTTGCATCTAAGCAAATATTGTCGTTTTCTGTCGTATGAAAGAGCTGCTTCATTTTATATTTGCATCCCATGTATAAAATCAGTATTTTAAAAAAAAAATATATTGGAAGAGAGGTTTTTCTTACAAATTGTATTTTTTATCTGAAGTTGCAGGTATATTATTGATTTTTCAATAGAAGAAAAAGCATGCACAACACAGTATTTAGGCCTCAGCGTAACTTCTCCTGACGGACATGTCACAAAACACCAATACACCTATTGACGTCCGTTAACTATGTTTGTATCTTGATTCTGTCATATACATACACACATGGTTATTAAAAATAATGGATACACATGTTTCATGTATATTTCCTTGAATATACAATACATAATTATAATATACATACAAGGGGGAGAGAGAGAGAGAGAGAGAGAGAGAGAGAGAGAGAGAGAGAGAGAGAGAGAGAGAGAGAGGGAGGGAGGGAGGGAGAGAAGGTCGGGTGGGGACACCAGTTGAGCGCAGCTGCGTAACCAACCACTCGTGTGCGCATGCTTGTGCCACCAAAAACCCTACACTTCTGAGCAAAGTGAATCTATCATATCTAATAAGCCTGTATGTGTGTCTGTATACACACATCAATGGGCAGCGGAAATGGTGTTTCTGAGGAAAATGCAAATAATTAAATTGACTTACAGAAAGCAAGCAGAACAGTCTTTCAGATGCAAGATGAAAACCGCAAAGCGATTACAGAAACTGGACACAAACTGTCAGTTTAGCCATATTATGAGAAAGAATAAATTCGAACAGTAGAGCTCTGGACACCCTCCTCGGATGAGACGAGACATGATGATGATGATAAATGCAACATAATTTTTATTAACTCTATTTTCAGACAGCGTTGATGTTCCATTTTGTTTTACACATTGTGGCACTTACTGTTCTGTGTTAGTTTATTTTTGGTATTCTCTCCCCCCCCCCTCCCCCCCCAATCCCCATCATGCCATCGTTTTAGCTACCATTTTGTCTCTGTCCCCTTTTTGCGTCGTTCACTGCTGATGTTGTCAGTCGTCATGCTGTACTCCAAGTGTCCACTCACTGTGTAAACAAAGACACTGTTTGTCATTTCATGATGATTATGCAAATTTTTATTAGCCTCTTCCAGTAATCATTAATAGTTACTCTGACAGTTCAATATATACTTGCAGTATTTTCTAAACCACATCTCTATTGCCCCTAAGCTCTTCTTGAATTGTTCTCACGCCAAGATACACTGCCAATTAGGAGAACACTTCTGATGTTAAATCTTTGATCTCCCGTTAAGACATTTGATTAAAGTGATTTATTACACACAACCCCTGAAAAAAAAAAAAAGTTATCGGAAAATTGATTGAATAGTTTTCTTTAAACTGTCGTCACATTTTTATGTTACTTAACATTTGATCCCGTTCAGGACTGCAGACCAAAAGATTCGCACACAGTTGCCCACGGAGTCACACATCGGATGCTAGTTCAACAAGAGCCAGTCCAAGAATTCCCGTTCAACAGTATTTACAAAACTTAACTGATGTCGGAACTTTAATATGCGCATGGTACACAAAATAACTTAAAAACAAAAACAAAAAACACTTAAATACGAACGCTAATTAACAGACCCAAATGACCGGCATATTTGGAGTAGAACATTGCAAATTTACATTCTCTCTACACTTCTAGCTATATCTCTGCCTGTTATTCTAAGGTCTCAACTGCCGAGATCGGTTGTGAAAAGAGTATGGTTTACGTTCTCTGCCAGACTCATTCATGAAGACAGCACAACAATCTGACCAATCATTGAAGTATTATTAACCAGACTCTGTTAGCGCGACTCATGTTTTATTATTTTGCTCCCCAGACCAAGATGTGAACTTTGATGCTATTCTTGGGGAACTCTATGAGCTGGAATCCCAACTTAACAGTGCTCAGACTGAGCTGTCCAGGTCTTTGGGGACTGGAGGTCATCATCCGCCGCCACCCGTCGCATTTCAGGATGGAGAAAGTCAAGAGAGCAGAGAGGCCAGGCATTCGTCGGAGCAGGTACATTGCCACCGTTCCTGTTGTTAAATATGAGCATATTAAGGCACTCTACCATTATCTCACAATTTCTCATAAAGATCGTAAAAAATATAATGGTCTCTAAAAAAAATCGAATAATGTTTTTAATGACCCTCCAAAATGCACCATCAAAGTAAATGGAACAAACATCAAGCAAGTTTATATGTTTGAATACTTGGGTACCCTGATGACATCGGGTGGAAGATGTATTAGGGAGGTCAAATGACAAATACCTCAAGAAAAAGCAGCATTTTACAAAATGTAGAATATTTGATGCAGTCTTTCTTTGTCATTGTGACGAGAAAGAGAATTCTTAAAATTTATATAAATTCTGTTTATATACGGATGTGAATCATGGACAGTTAGTAAATTGGAGAACGAAAAAAGAAGTGAACACGTTTTTTAGAAGCTGCGAAGATGTGGTTTTATAGACGAATAGTTAGAATACCCTGCGCCGATAAAAAGAGTAATTAAGATGAAAGAAACTGACTCACGAAAATAACTGATTGCCCACATCCCACATCAGAAAGAGACAATCAATATGCTTTGGTCAAGTAATGAGAAGGAGAAATCTTGACACATCGTGATGATAGGACAGTTGGAGGGTAGGGCAGGTAGAAGGAGACTGAGAGAACAGATTCTGGACAGTTTGACATCATGTCATTGAGGATCATCTGTGTCAAAGTTGATTGGAAATACACGAGACAGAAAGTTGTGAATAGACCTGACTGCCAACGCCACACGGAATGGACTTTTAGAAGACAAAGAAGTAGTAGCTTGTAAAAAAAAAAGTATATTGTTAAATTGTGAACTTTAATAATTTGCCCTGACTTTCTATAATATGCTATAGAAAGCTATAGAGATAGATATTACAAATTATACCAGATGTGTGCATTATGACCCCAACTAGTTACACATGCTTCAGTGTAAGCTAACTGCAATTAACATTTCTTAGCCAACATAAATGGCACAAAGAAGCTAAACCACAGTTATAACCGATACTACTGGCAGTAGGTTGAACGTGGCCGATATTTTTTTAATAAATGGATGGATGGATAAAAGTTAGCATTCATGGAAAATGGTACCTCGCACTGATGCTTGTGTGTAAATGTATGCACTGCATCGTTTTGTTCACAAATGCAGTATTGAAAGAAATCTGTGATCGTATCTAAAGCTCAGAATTCATGCTTTGTGCTCTGCTTTTGGCAGTCCACTCGCTACCTACGGAGACAGGCCAGCCATGTGTGATAAAACTACTCACAGTAAATTCGATAATTTATCGTGAAACCTTTGAGAATGGTGATAACAAAGTAAGCTAGATATTATACACAATAAATTCGATTATTCCTTGTGAAACCTTTGAGAGTGGTGATTACAAAGTAAGCTAGATATTATACACAAGAAATTAGCTATACACCTATAAAAATTACTAGAGACAAGCATTACGAAATAAGCCAGAACAGTCGTATACAACACCGAGTATGAATAGGTATTCAGAAAGTAAATTAAGAAGACATTTATATTACAAAGTAAGAAGACAATTATATTACACTGTAGGAAGACATTTATATCACAAAGTAAGAAGACATTTATATCACAAAGTAAGAAGCCATTTATATCACAAAGTAAGAAGCCATTTATATCACAAAGTAAGAAAACATTTTTATCACAAAGTAAGAAGACATTTATATCACAAAGTAAGAAGACATTTATATCACAAAGTAAGAAGACATTTATATCACAAAGTAAGAAGACATTTATATTACAAAGTAAGAAGACATTTATATCACAAAATAAGAAGACATTTATATCACAAAATAAGAAGACATTTATATCACAAAGTAAGAAGACATTTATATGACAAAGTAAGAAAACATTTATATCACAAAGTAAGAAGACATTTATATTACACAGTAAGAAGACATTTATATCACAAAGTAAGAAGACATTTATATTACACACTACAAAGACATTTTTATCACAAAGTAAGAAGACATTTATATGACAAAGTAAGAAGACATTTATATTACAAAGTAAGAAGACATTTATATCACAAAGTAAGAAGTCATTTATATCACAAAGTAAGAAGACATTTATATCACAAAGTAAGAAGACATTTATATCACAAAGTAAGAGGACATTTATATCACAAAGTAGGCTACTAATAAAGATGACGTATGCTTGTATTACATTTTTTGTATTCTTTTTTTGGTAAAGAATGAACTAAATGTTGGGTTGTGTTTGTGCATGTTTTTTCAATTCTCTGCATTGAGCTTTGAAATCACATTTTATGTTGGGTTTGGCACTACTAATAAAGGTGTATAGGGACATGACGTAGGAATCTGTGAATCGTTATAACAGCTGCATTGTTCTTGGCATGAACTATATAATGAGGCTGATTATTATATGCACTATCTTGTTATAGGAAGAGCTGGATCAGCTGGCAGTGGAGATTACACGGAGTCTCCAGTACAATAAACCACATGGTCATTGTTCTTATCACCATCGGCATTACCACCATCATCATACAGTTAGTGGGTCAGGTCATGGTGGAGGAGAAGGCGTCTGTGACACTACAGAAACAGATTCAGCCTTCTCAGACAACGCCTCATTGCCCTCCTCCGAGTCTCTGACCTCCATGGTGACCGTGTCCTCTTCTGCTGATACAAACTCCTCCTCTTCAGGAGAGACGTGCAGTATGAGCAGTGCCATCTGTGGGATGCATCACTCTGAGGTAAGCATGTTTGCTCACCGTAGTTGTCCTAGTTGTCGTGTTGCTATAAGCAGGTTGAGGGGATGGGGAGGGGGTCCTAGGGGCGTCGCGGGTGAGATACTTACCTTTCACTTAAAATATCTTGTGATCGCTTTTGTACTCGTCCTTCTGTGTATATGTTCAGTTTTTTTTAAGGATATTGCTGAGTATCTTGCTTTGTGCGATGTTCACTGTGGAAGAAGGAAGAGTCTGTCTACAAAATCAGACCACGTCATAAGGGGTAATGCAGGGGCAATGAAGATGTTACACTGCAGGGGCAGCGAAGGTGTTACACACCCGTCTTTATTAATAGGTTAGTTAATTGGTGGTGGGAGTCGCCGTGGCTCCCAGGTCAACCCAGCCTTGAGTGGGTACCGGGTGCAGTCCCGGGAAAGTAAAGGCAGCCGGTGTGATGCTGGCCACATCACCTATCTTGTGCCGATTGATCTATACAAATATAGGTCTAGCCCTATATGCCCTATACGCCTAAAAGCGTGGAAAAGTGTCCTTTACCTTTTTAATTGGCGGTGACGGAACTGTCAATCTTACACATGGTGGCGTTCTCCCTTTTGAAAAGTACAGGAAGGTTTAAATCAGAAGCGCGTGGATGATGCGTGCAGGAAAACCTAGTTTATAATGTAACATCTAGTTTAAGAATGAAGGAGAAGATCCTTATTGGGTTTTTCCTCTGGCTTTAGCTGCACACAAATGGGATTGTAAAATCTAACAAAGTAGATTATAAAGGCGACGACAGACACGCTTCAAGCAGTGTGGGAAGTATCGTTTTAGAGGTCCCTATAAGTTAGCGTACTATGACTTTCAGATCTAGATGTATAAAGAAACGGGCAGGAAGACAGACTGGGTGGTTCTGTACCACTTGACTGTAAATTAAGGCATGGCAAACTAGATGTTACCATCGTCTTTTAGAAGTGAGTGAATAATGAAGAAAAAAGAATAGATCATCAAAGCTTGAAAAGCGCAACAGGGATTGAGCGGGAATTTTTGATCCGTGGAAACCCGACAGAAGCCACCTGCCAATGTTGAAATGCGCCTGTCAAGATCTATTTTCAATTTTTTGGGGATCCATTAGACATTTCCATTGCCTTTTTCTGTCTTATCTATGAAAAACGCCATGTGTATGCCAGATTAAGACAGCGCCTGTTTTATATCTGGCATTTATGGAGCAAAGCAACCAGCATTTGTGTATTAAAAGTCAAGAGCTAAATGTATTATCAAGTCTTCCATACAGGAAATGGGTGTATTACGCACATAATCAGTTTTTACAAATGTAGTTTGCTTCAGGCGTTTGTTAAAAAATTACTCACTAAAATCTAAAAAAAAAAAAAAATAGTCTCAAAAGTGTACCTGCTAGTGTGATGTTCATCTTCAGTTATGTGCGTGCCTTCTTGTGGAACCAACAGAACACACACACAAACACACGCACACACATACATACACAATTGACGAGTTTATTTTCTTGTCTGTGTGGATTCAAGTCCCCACTGAGGGTTGGTAGTGGGAAAATAATAGAGATTTATTTAAATCGAATGTGTTTTGTAAAAGGTGTAGATACCTCAGCCTAGTTATAAACCTCAACGCAACTTGTCAACCTTCGTGTTAAAGGCGAACATCGAAGATATATTTCTCTCTCTCGCTCTCTCTCTCTTTCTCTCTCTCTCTCTCTCTCTCTCTCTGTATATATATTTATATATACATATATACACATATATAACATATATATATATATATATATATATATATATATATATATATATATATATATATATATATATATATATATACACATACATATATATATCGCCTCAGGAACTTGTGTGTGTTCCAATACACACACCAGCATTGGCAAATGTAGATATAGATATTATCCTGGGAATGAACAGAGCTGCAGCCATAACATTACAAACCGCCATTTGACACCAAACAAATGTTTTAAATACTAGCCGATAGGATGAATACTTTACAGCCAACCAGCTCCTGTTTTTCTATACGTTTGTATAATGGGTTATTATATTTGCAAGATGGTTTGCTTTCGCCTAAACATCAAAGGGTATTGACATCCCCCTGTCTGTACTATTTGTTTATCAAGTTGGTTTTTCTTAACAACTGTGCGGATGTGTTTGTATGTGAGTCTTCTGGAAATAACACATAAATATGTTAACTGTATACAAATTAGGGCTGTACCGAATATTCGCTCCGTATTTGCTTCGGGGCCGAATAGTGGACCTAATAACTATTCGGTATTCGGCCTAATAGTTGCGGTCGGACCGAATACGAATAGTGGCTACCTTACATCCGTTTCTGGAATGCTGGAAAATAAACATATCAAGATTTCCCACTTTGGTTCCTACTGCCAAGCGTTATCTTTGTGCACCACCTACGAGCGTACTAAGTGAACGTCTGTTTAGTACAGCTTCAGTGAGACAACAAGCTGCCCTATTGCTGACAACATGAAGCGATTTTTTTTTTTTTGAAAGCTAATGCCACTTTTATGGATTAACTAAGATGTCAGTGACAATTTACAAGTTTAATTACTTGTTATAAAACTAAGAATACTTTCATTCCTAGGTATTAGTTACCACAGACTGACTGACTGAATGATGCAAAACATGAAATGTTTTTAAATGTTTTCTATTCTGTACTACATTTCGTGAAGTAAAATTTCATCGGACATTTAAAATTATGGATGTTTTTTTTTTAGATCTATTTTATTCACGAAAGTGGAAGAATGGGCCTCAGTTTGAATAGTGGGAAGACAGAAGTAATGGTGCTATCATAGAAAATAATTATTCCTAAATGTGTAAAAAAAAGTCAGTGGTTTTATTTTGGGACAAGTACAGAAATGTAAGAATCTGGGCACATGGATAACATCAGATGGAAGATGCATTACTGAAATAAGAAACATAATAGGACATGCAAAAACTGCATTTTATAAAATGAAGAACATCTTATGCAATATATCTTTGTCATTGAAGGTTAGAAAAAAAATTCTTGTTTGCTACATACATCCAGTTTTAACATATGGCTGTAAGTCCTGGACAATCGGTAGGCAGGCCAAACAATTTCTTGAGGCCTCAGAGATGTGGTTTTACAGAACAATGCTTAAAATACCCTTAACAGCCAAAAAAAAAAAAAAAAAAAGCAACCAAGAGGTTTTGATAGAGGCAGGAGCCCGAAGACAACTACTCACAGACATCAGAAGGGGACTGTCATCATTTTTCGGCCACGTTATGATATGAGGGAAAATGGAACATGTGGTGACTACTGGAAAGATATGTGGAAGGAGAGATAGAGGAAGACAACGAGAGAAGATTCTTGACAGTCTTGTTGCATGGCATGGAGGTGTGTTAGCACACGAACTAATACATGCTGCAGGATATCGCAGATTGTGGCGAGGTGTAATCGCCTACGCCTGTTGGCAAAGTACCTGATAATGATGATTCACTATTCGTTTTCGTATTCAGCCGAATAATTGGTTCAGCTATTCGTATTCGGTCGAATAGTGAAAATCACTATTCGGTACAGCCCTAATACAAACACAGTTTGTGAGGAACATTTCAACAAAATAAAGTAAAAGTACGGCAACAAAAGTCCGGCTCTGCCAGGACGTGAATCCAAGACCTTCCGAACAAATGAATGAATGCGCAGATGAACAAGTAGGTCGGTATGTTACTTAATTACTCGTTCCTTGGCTACAAGGTTGGTAGGTAGCCAGGTGATTTGGGCACATTGGGAAGACTAAATGTTAGGATACATAATGAGACAATTATATATGTTTGGTGAGAAAACGGTTCTCTGAAGTAACAAAAATAAAGCCCCCCCCCCCCCCCCCACCCCCCCTATAAAAAGCTACTTAATGAACAAGTGGCAACAATTTAAAACTTGTATTCTGAATCATCAAGTGTCTTGCCGTCTGGCGTGTGCTATTTTTGCTCTCCACGATCTGCGATCTGCAACTGCGTGCATCAGTTCGTGTGTTGACACCCCTACACACCACAACAAGAGGCTGTAAAGCATCTTTTCGTGCTGACTTTCCCTGTATCCTTTTCCACAGATCTTTCCATTGGTCACAAAATGTTTCAGCTTTCATCTTCTCATAGCATGACCAGAAAATGATGACTGTCTTTTTCTGAAGTTTGTGATGAGTTGTCTTCGAGCCCTCGACTCATTCAAAACATCTGGGTTGCTCTTTTTTGCTATCCAAGGAATTTTAAGGATTCTTCTGTAAAACCACATCTCCGAAGCCTCAAGAAAATGTTTAGCTTGTGTATTAAATGTCTAGGCTTCACAGCCGTATGTTAAAACTGGCTCTGTAAAGCATGCGAGAGTTCTTTTCCTAACCTCCAATGACATGGAATTATTGCACAAAATGTTCCTTATTTTATAAATGCAGTTTTAGTTTGTCATGTTCTGTTCTTTATCTCTGTGATACATCTTCCTTCAGATGTTACCCATGTGCCTAGAAACTTAAAATTATGCACAAGCTGTGTCGTCCTTTTCAGGATGAAATTTTTCGTTCTTTGAAGCTCTACCCTGGCTCTTGCCAGAGGCCGCAATATAGCCTGGTCATAAGTATGGACTAAAGGCTGAACGCGGTTTCTGGGACTTTTCCACAGTGATCCTCACCCACATTGTGGCACATTGTGTCGTCGGGTGTTTATAGCTTGTGTGATGTCCTGGTGGGGTAGAAAGTCAGTCAGTCAGTCAAAATATGTGCTTGTCTTAAAATAACGTCTTTGGCATTTATTATACATTTAGGCCCTATTCTTTTCTTGGAAATCACCACTACCCCCTTCTTCACATTATTCAAACCGAGGCCCATTATATCATGTTTTACCACCACCGCATCTATTAACTCCTGTAGTACTTTCTGATTGCTGTCAAGACGGTGTCATCAGCATAACGTAGATAGTTTTTGTTATGACCACCAACCCCAGTTCTCGGCATATCCACGACAGATCTCA